CACACGTACGAAGTGCCGCACATGGGAAACACATAGGCAGAAATAGCCGACGCACCATGCCATAGCCTCCTATATATAGAGGATAGCCTCCTATATATAGAGGAGGCTATGACCATGCCGACGCACGTAGGGGGCGGCCATTTTGGATTTGCGATGGCAATAGATTGACCGTAATTTTTTTGTTCGTACTCGATTCTAACGCGCATGCGATTTATGAACTCGCTTAACCGGAAAAAAGGTGCACGTTAGATTCGAGTAATTACGGTACTTCTCCGGCAGTTGTTCCCATGCATCTTTGTAGCGTAGTTCTGCACGGGAGTGCGAGGAGCTCGGTCCTGATATACTCGTATGACTTTGTTGAGAAGCTTCTCAGAATCACACACTGCCGTATAGTGCTTTCACACCACTTTGGCTTTTTCACCTAGTAGTTTAGGACTTGGTCCATTATCACTCTGGCTTTAGTGCAGCCCTGATTGCAGTCTGTGGCTACTTGAAGAAATTTGCTTACGTTGCACTCTTCCTTTAATCTATGCAGCTCTTTCTTGTAGGCATCTACTGTTGCCTGCAGCCTTTCATTTCATTGCTTCCACGCCCTTTCTTTGTTGCGCCATTTTTTCCGCTCCAGAAAGGCTGTTGCGAAGCTTCTGCTGTCGGCTTAAAGCCAAACACCAAAGGTCCTCAAGGCACGCACACCTGCACCCTCTTCTGCTGGCTTCGCATCAGTTGGCTCAAGAAAGTTTGCGAAGTGACAGTAGCGACTAGCTGCTCCTACAAAAGGCAAGCCTTAGATGTCGCTTGGAGCAACACTTTCTGGTTGTTGCCGGCTACTGGGCTCAGTGGCTTCGTCAAGCGTGTTTGCGCTAACTTCTGGAGCCGGTGCAGGGCCCGAATCGATTTTCTGACTTGGCACACTTGTCAACGTGTCTGTTGAGGGATCGCGCTTTCTTTTCTGAGTGCTGCTGCAGGTTCTCACAACTCAAAACAAGGTTAGCGACTACTCTAAGCAGACGACAAAAAAAGCGCAGAAAACTTGCGCACTAGCGGCCGCGAGCGTCGGCTGCTAGAGGGCAATAGCGCAGAGCCGCCAAGCGGCGTCATGTGGCAGAATCGAGAGAGTAAAGGGAAAGGCCCCGGCGGGCGCGGCGGCACTCACGCGGCAGGCACAAAAAAATATAGGAGGCGCTGCATGAACTGAGCAACTGAGCTTCAGCTTCGGATCGGGTGCGGCTCAAAAGCACCAATGGCAAAACCAGAGCAGTGTCATTGCCATCGCTATCGAGCAATGGCGGCGCCCATGATTGCTAAACAGCGGCGTTTTCTGGTGATGCCAATGCGTGTTTTAGACTTCGTTGATGCATTTTCAGGCTCTGAAAACGCATCGAAATGTTAAAGATTGCGTTTACTGCATAGAAATAAGTATCTGAGCCTGGAACTGCATTGTAAAATTTGGTTGAAGTGGGACGATTGAAGAAAATGTGTTCGTTGTGGCGATAATATTTATGCATTGACTTCTATGGACTGCTGATCGTGAAATTTTCGTTGTTGCGGAAATTCCGTTGAAGCGGCGTTCGTTGTAGTGCATTTCGACTGTAGCGCGTAGACAGGATAACCACAGGTCTAAGGATAACTACCGTATAAACGCATGTAAGGGCCGCACTTTTTTTTCAGGAAATGAGGGCCAATTTTCAGGGTGCGGCCCATACACGAGACTTTTTTTTTTTTTAAGTGAACTAAAAACAATGTACCAGTTAGCGAACGAAGAGCGTTTATTGCAGTATGCCGCGTGTGTGCTTAATCGTTGTCACTCGACGAGTCCTCTAACTCGGAGTCCGAGATGCTGTGTTGCGAAGCACCATCATTCCACAAACAGTCATCTTCGGTGCCATCCAGGCTGTTGGATATCCCAGTGACCTTAAAGCTTCGGGACACAATGTCCGTCGACACCGAGCTCCACGCCGACAATACCCAACCGAGAACAGTAACAAGCGGTGCCCTCTTCAGCCGTCCGGTCGGCGTGTGCTCATGGTTGCCGATTGCCATCCATTCCGTGTAGAGTCTTCGGAATTCAACTTTGAACGGTCGATTCACGCTCACATCCAATGGTTGCAACATTCCTGTGAGGCCGCCTGGAATCACGGCCATGTCTGTGCCGACACGGCGCAGCTGCTCCTTCACCTTATCGGTAAGGTGGCCGCGGAAACTGCCCAACACTAAAAGTGAATGTTTGGCCAACAAAGCTCTCGGTCTGTTCTGCCAAACACTTTTTACCCAGTCAAGCACCAAATTATCGTTCATCCATCCCTTCTCGTGGACTCTAACCATGATGCCTTGGGGGAAAACTTCGTTGGGAATTCTTTTCCTTTTCAAAACAACTTACGGGGGTAGCTTCCGCCCGTCCGCAGTCACACAAAGCATCACGGTGCAGCGTTGGCGCTCAGCACCGGTGGTCCGCACGGCGACACTCTTCTTGCCTTTTACTTCGACTGTGTAGTTCTCGGGAGAGTCAAACCACACAGGAGTTTGATCAGCGTTCGCTATTTGGGACAACAGATATTTGTGCTGATGGCGCGGGCCGATGACATGCTTGTGAAAACTAAGCACCTTATCGGTATAGTCTTCTGGCAGCCGCTGGCACAGCGTGGTCCTTCGCTGAAAGGAGAGTCCCTTCCTTTTTCAGAAACCTTCGCACCCAGCCAGCACTAGCCTCGAAATCCCCAGCCGGTATATTTTTCGCATGTGCCAAGGCTAGTGCCTTCATGCGCAGCATTCCCTTAGTGAGCGCAAAACCATCGTTCCGCACCTCAGTCACGTAGCGGAGCAACTCCTCTTCCAAATCAGGATACTTGCACTGTTTTCCTCGGAAAGCGCGCATTTTGATGTTGGTGTTCTGCAAGGCTTTCTTCTGAGCGCACCAACGTCGAACGCACTTCTCGTCAACGTCAAATTTTCTGCCGGCGGCCCGTTTCTCGTGCTCGAGAGCAAACTCGATCACCTTCAACTTATAGCCAGCTGTATAGCTATTCAGCTGCTTGCCCATCGTGCCAAAACGTAAACGTCCCGCAGAAAACTAGCTAGAGTCCCAGAGTCATTCAACGGTGCGCAAATCTCCAGCACATGGCAGGCTGAACAGCACAATAACCGAACATTGCACAAAATTGCACAAATACCAAAGTTTGTGATGCTAATGCCGATATGGATAGCACGTTTGTATAAAAGTGTCAGAAGTTAAAGATAAAATCCCGCTTTAACCTTTAGTTGGCGGGAACACTACTGAAAAAACTTAAAAATTTTAGCCAACTTCTTGAACATATTAGCATGAAGAAAACCAACAAATTATTTCAATGACGTAATATATGCTGATGATAAGCGCGTTCACTAACGCCTTCTACTGACAATGCCTAGTAGCTCACACACGCGCGCGCATTTTGAATAAGTATGGGTCAAGGAAAGTGCGGATGCGGCCCTTACACGCAACATTTTTTTTTTTAATATGTGCTTCTTAAAAACGGGATGCGGCCCTTACATGCGTGTATACGGTAACGGGATTCCCAGAGAGGGCAAGCAGGTCGGGGAAGACAAATTTAGGTGGGCAGATGAGATTAGGAAGTTTGCAGGTATAATGTGGCAGCAAGCACAGGACCGAGTTGGCTGGCGGAACGAGGAAGAGGCCTTTGTTGTGCAGTGGATGTAGTCAGGCTAATGATGATGATATAAGCATTCGCCCATACCATCTCAAGGACTGTTTCAATTGGGAGATAATAAATAAGATAGAAGATTTTATGAGATAGCCAACATAACACCAACTCCAACACGTGATTCCCGATCACAGTCATAAATGGAAAAGCTGTGTGCGCCTTGAAATATTTCGCATGTTCCGGCGGCTCTCTAGGATTACAAAGGGACCGCACAGTTAGCTATGGGCAGATGACGAGTCATGACAGATCAGGAAGGGCTTGCAATCGCCTCTAGAAAAGACAACAAGAATATTGTCTCTCAACAAAACATTTAATGAAAAGCACATGAAATAAGTATAACACCTTGAACAAACATTGAAGAACAATGACGAATGCCATAAAAAAGCAAGGGTGCTGAACTTGTGTACTCATAAAAAACAACAAGCTCCCGATCTGTGAAAAGACTGCTTGTTCTCCTTGTCTTTCTGGGCTGTTAACTTAGGACGTAACCCAATTCTCCAAATTTCCTATCCTTACTCAATATGACACTTAGTAAGCAACAAGCTCAGCACCTTCAAACTGATCCACACACGAGCCTGGTGGCTTAGGCATGAGTACCTATAAGCTAGAAGTCACTTTGACACGTACACCCGTGAAAAGCACACGCCGAAATAACTGTCTGCACTGTCTACTGTTGAGGGCATGGTTTTGACAGAATTGTTATTCTAACATGATTCATCAAAGAAATGTGCCAGCTTGCGCGGGGCAGAAAGAACTACCAGCACATTGCACCAGCACTTCTTAGAATTTGAAGAAAGGTGCAAGCAGGCACGATGTGCCAGTGTTATATTCTCTTCTGTACAAGCAGGCAAAGCTCTGCCCGAAAATTTTTTCGGCTAAGAAGAATCCCGGAAGGTGTGGCACGAGACATGAGCTGCCTTATGTAGCCTGCACAGTTGGCGTTATGAGATTTCATTTTATGTGGAAAGTCATATGTTGGGCCAACCAGACGGTGCATCAACGTCCGTGCATCTTTGTGGTGTCCTTTTATGTGTCACTGCTCTCCTCGTCCATATAAATGATTTATTCATGTTGATTGTAAATGATTTATTCATGTTGGTTGGCTCATCTGGTGTGTGATCGTTGACCTACACCCGGTGAGTAACGCCTCACTCACCACTATTAAATGAGAAGCTGTTTAAAAAGCTAGTTTTAGAAAAAGTGAAATACTGACATTGAACATGTACTAATATATAAATAATTTTGATGAATTGAGCAGTTTGTGGATTGCAAAGTTTACGAGCCAGGAGCAGACAGACAGCTTACCTCTTCAGTCGCTGCATGACTCAGCTTCAAAGCTGCTACAAATGGACACCAGCTGGCTGCACATGCTCTCACAGGAGACATCGCTCAGCAGCGAAGAAGAGTGGCTCGCCTCGTCATCAGACCCTTTGGGCTCCTCTGTTCGGGAAAGCAGCACACACATACCATTTCACTCTGCGCTCCATCTTCTTGAGCACTCAAAAAAGTGTTAGTCGCAATTTTGAACCACAACCACAAAACATGTCAACTTACATCTGGAATGGCCCCTAGCATAGATCTCGTGTTCAAAAAACATCAAAGTCATGTGATTTGCTTTAGTATCTTGTTCAAGACGTTTCTTCCCTTTGATCTTTTTACATATTGCTGTTATAGTACCATGTATCTTTAGTACTGTCGCTCGTCATACAATTCTTTAAAACAAGTGACCGTAATGTGCCACTTTCTGTCTTGGCCAACCCGATTTATTGATTGATATGTGGGGTTTAATGTCCAAAAACCACCATATAATGAAGAGAGACTCCGTAGTGGAAGGCTCTAGATATCTTGAACACCCGGGGTTCTTCAACGTGCACCCAAATCTGAGCCCACGGGCGTACAGCATTTTCGCCTCCATCAAAAATGCAGCTGCCCCAGCCGGCATTCGATCCCACGGCCTGCAGGTCAGCAGCCAAGTACTTTAGCCACTAGACCACTGTGGCGGGACTGTCTCGGCCAGCCTTGTGCTTTGCTTAATTGCTTCTTTTGAGAATCATGGCATTTCTAATTTCTTCCCTTTTCTTTGCTTTGTGGTAACGCTATTTCATGAATAACTTCAAAGCTTATCTGGTATCCAGTCAAGGAGATCGAACCTTGCAATCTATTATTTACAGCAGTGTTTCTTCAAGCACAATGATTATTCGAACGAATGTTTCAGTATCCTTGGGGTGCTTCGGCATGACTACAAATGACTTGAAACGTAGTACAGTTGAACACCGTTATAATGAATGCCACTTCAACAAATTTCTGCTACAAGAAAAAATTGTCGGTTCCTCGTTAGCAGTCCATAGGAGTCAATGCATAAGTATTCTTGCCGGAACGAACACTTTTTCTTCTGCTGTTTCGCTTTAACGGAGTTTGACAATGCAATTCCACGCTCAGATATTTAATGTCATGCAGTAAACACAATCTTTAAGATTTTTATGCATTTTCAGAACATGAAAATACATTGAGGAAGTCTCAAACACGCATTGGCAGCACCAGAAACTGCCTCTGCTTACTATTTCATGGTTTACTACGCGTGGCAGCCGCACTGCTCGATAGCGATGGCAATGAGACTGCCCTGCTTTTGCCACAAGCTTGCTTCTGAGCCGCAAACAATGTGAAGCTGAAGCTTAACTTGGTTTATTTGACGCAGCTGCTGGATGCAATCGCCTTTTCAGATGCCAATACCTTTAGTTCTGTTTGCACCTGGCCAGAGTGGTAACTTATTAGAGCGGCTGTTCGTCTGCATTATCAACAAAATCAGCCAGCTGCGAGAGGTAGGTGATACTAGTTCAGCGAACTGGAAGCGCGGGAACACACAAGCGACAGAGAAGGGCTTTTCTCTGTCTCTTGTGAGTGTATCGGTGCTCCCTGTTCGCTCAACAAATATGAACTACCAATTAGCCTACCTTTCTTTCCAGAATGGCATAGAATAAGGCAAAAGTCACCACTCCACGATACCCCATCTCCATCTCGGCGTTGTCGGACACACTTTGACGGCGGACAGCTGCTAGTATTAGCATGTTAGTGCAACGGTTATGTTCATTCACGAAAGGCCGTTGTGGACGTTGTTTTAGGGTGCTTTTCACCATGACGTAGTTATGCATCAGTGAGAACTGCAATGTGACGCTGCTGGGAAAGAAAAGGAAACAGCCGACACTTTTTTTAATTCTGGGAATAAAAGTCTCTGTTTAGCTAGCTCAGATCAGCTAGATTTTTATTATTTCACTGCAACAAAATCTTCGCTTCAACAAAGTTTTTGTTTCTGCACCTATCAGTTTCGTTGTAGCAGGGTTTGACTGTATTCCGAATGAATCCAGCGATATTTGGCCGCCTGATAAGGTGGTTTCACTGCAGCATAAGGCTGCTACGCCATCGCACCACCTCTATATTGTTCAGGAGAAATCCGCAGTGCCACGAAGCCACACTTCAAGGTTAAGGGGGTAGGAAGGGTGACCAAAAAATACGATTTTTTTATTTCAATACTGAAAATAATACACACTCTGAAGAGCGAAATTCTGCATTGGGGAGCATGTTGGTGTGCTGCAAGCCCTTTATAAATGGCGCCAGAGACTGCACCTGCTAATGGATACACAAGCTCTTTTCTATCATTCTTTCTATGTGTATGCATTTTTTTAAAAGAATTTTTATGGTCTGATTGGCTACATACATTCACTTCCTACCGTTTCCATTATACCAATCTCAAATTGTCCCACCAAAATGTATATTTAGTGGAATCATGGCTCTATGCTGTGAGCACCTTCCGCGGGCCTTTTAAAACATATAAGTGCAAGAAAACATTCTGGCTATCACCTTTTTGAGAATTTCCTAAACTTGATGTACCTTCTTCGGAAAACTATATAACCAATCACCTTCAAATTCTGGCAGGTTACACCTAAATTCCTTTCAAATAAAGCAAAACTAAAACTTCGAAAGCTCTTTAGTTACAATTACAAACAACAATCATTATTTCAGAAGTCTCCATGCTATTCGATACGTATGGGAGTTCGCCCATAAATGTGAGAACAGCCACACCTACAACTAATGCTCAAAAACCATTTTAGCTGCCAGAAAATTACCGAAGTTCCTTTCAGATTGTGAGACAAGATTAACTACAGAAGACTTAAACAGTGTCCAAACATAACCTGATACACCAACTCTTCAGCTCACCTGATCCTCTGGAATTCCGCGCTATGAAGGAGCAGACAAACCAGATCATTGTAACCAGGCTTAAGTGCAAGCTCAATGACGAGCCACAGTAGTGTTGGACTGAGTTGCTGTTGGAGGTAACAGACAAATACACCGTAACACCTCACGAATTACCAGCTACACACCGTCCTTCCTGATCTACGGAATCGGAATACCATCTTATCCAAATGTACCGAAACAGTGAGAAACAACGGTGGAAAAGCCATGGAAAGCTATTGTTAATAATTCTATTGCCTACCACAATAAGAACAAAGTAATCTATGATGATAAATTTCTTATGAATGAGTTCCAAGTCGTTGACTTTGTCATGTAAGAGACAGCACGGCATCCCCACAACAGTGAACCAAGTTCTGGCATAGAAAGTCAGAACCAGATTTTATGCAAAGTGTTACCACTTAACTATGAGATCAATCGCTCCGTGTTGCCACTGGCTAGAAGCTCGGGCATTTGTTCATGTGAGCAAACTATGATGTTATTTTGTACCTTCTGAACTGAGACTTTTCTCCAGGGGAAGGGGAAGAGCGTAACACATGAACAAGGTTACGGTAGAAGAAGCAGACGAAGAAGGAGTGCACGTGCACTGGAATAAATAGATGGCATCTGAACCACGACTTATCTCTCTTTAATGTCACACATTATTTTATTTATATTATATACACAGTTAAACCTGCTTATTACGAACCTGTATAAAACAAATCCCTCTATATAACGAAGCTTTTAAATTCCCTGCCTTTACTTCATAGAAGCACATGCCTTTGCGACCTCTATGTAACAAAGTAACAGGTGCACAACACACAACAGGGGCACAAGTAACAGGGGCACAACACCGCATGCCACACGATGCTCAACGCTCTGTTAACCTTTCAGGCGATGGTGTCCTGGCTCTCTGCCAACGCCCTAGTGTTTCTCAACCCACCAGGGGTACCTGGACCGGTCCTTGAGCCCCAATCCTGGAGCTACGAACTTCCCTGGAACCCACCAAACCCGCCCGGAAATCCAGTTTTGGCTGCATCCCGCTTTGCATGGCAACAACTACCGGCTTCAGCGTCATCGGTCACATGGCCCGAAAGAACGCAATATATTCCTGCAAGTGACGCCGTCTGCTCGGGGCACAACACCGCATGCCACACGATGCTCAACGCTCTGTTAACCTTTCAGGCGATGGTGTCCTGGCTCTCTGCCAACGCCCCAGTGTTTCTCAACTCACCACGGGTACCTGGACCGGTCCTTGAGCTCCAATCCTGGAGCTACGAACTTCCCTGGAACCCACCAAACTCGCCCCGAAATCCAGTTTTGGCTGCATCCCGCTTTGCATGGCAACAACAACCGACTTCAACGTCATCGGTCACATGGCCCGAAAGAACGCAATATATTCCTGCAAGTGACGTCGTCTGCTCGGGGCACAACACCGCATGCCACACGATGCTCAACGCCCTGTTAACCTTTCAGGTTAGTTACCTCGACTGTTCGAAACAGTATCGTTCTAGCGATCATTTTCTCGTGTTGGTGTTGTGCCCCGGCAACGCTCAACACGTTATCAACTTTCATTTGTGCTGCGACATGCTCACCTGTCTTTTGCTTTCTCATTTGATATTACTGCTTTCCGGCGACATAGAACTTAACCCCGGACCCCCAGATGCTGTTTACCTCCCATATGTCTTGAGCACTTTTAGGCAACTAGAGAACGAACAGGCGGCATTGCGCACTAAACTAAACCAGCTTAAAGAAGTATGCAATCAACAATCCATTCTTTTGACATCTTTTGACCAACGCGTTACAGCACTAGAAACAAAACAACCCTTTTCACCCACGCCTTTAATTAATGCTGAAACAGACCAGCTAAAGCAAGAAATTGCCATGCTTAGAGCTGCTAACATCGACGTAAGCAATCGCATGCGTCGGAATAATCTTTTTTTTGGTCTTGATGACGACCCCAAGGAAACATGGCAGCAATCGGAAGATAAAGTTAAAGTGTTTTGTTCGAAGCAGCCCTCCTTGCCGCTGCTTTCAAGCAACATCGAGAGAGCCCACCATATCGGCACCTTTACGGCCAGCAAAAAACGTCCTGCTATTGTTAAATTTTCCAGCTTCAAGGCTAAAGACGGGATTCTATCTTGAGGAGCCAAACTGAAAAACACCAATTATGCGATTAGAGAAGATTGCGCTGCCGCCACTCGCTCGGCCCGCTC